TGGATTAATTGTTTATATATGTTTATAATTACATTATTGATATAATTTTAGGTTTATATATTTTCAATCTCCTCTCTTTTAATTTTCTCTTTCATTGTTTCTCCCTATTTGATTAAATACTAATTTGTGTTATTTTATTTGTTTTCCAGGAAACATTAGGAGATAATCATTTGGGTAAGTAAATTTTCTTTGTGTAAATTTTATTTATATAAGCCATTAAAGATATTAGGGTTGAAATTAATTATAAATAAATACTAACCTAATTTATGCTTTCTTATTTTCTTAGGAAATGGTGTTTTGCAAATCTTCATCTATTGAAGTAATCTTCAATTAATTTTTAGGTTATCTAGTTGTATTTTAACTTTGTCATTTTATTCTTTTTTTTTTAATTTATGTTTTAATATTTGATTTAAATAAATAAATAAATAATTTTCTGATTACATTATAAAATTTTCATATTATATTTATTTTTTATGATATTAAATATTATGAATTACTTAATGTTTAATTGTAAATTAATTTAATTAAACAATAAATATATATATTAATTTCAGTATGAGTTGAATTCAAGAATTTTTTTTTATTTATCTAGAGTTACTTACCAACGTCATTCTCGTCGATAACTAGGACAAAAAAAAAAGGCGCCTAAAAAAAATGGCGCCTAAAATTTCAGAGATGATTTTCAACTTGTCAATGAAGATCTTTGTGTACTTCAGATGTGATCTTTGTCGGTGATTTACTGACATGGCCCAAATTGCGAAGCATTTTCCTGTATTAGCAAATGTGATGTTCGTCGGTGATCAGCTCAGAGCTCAAGGCCCTTCTATATCTTCAGACGTTATCCTTGTCGGTAATTTACTGACGTGGACACCAGAGATGTTTTCCGGTGAACTGTTCCGGTTTTTCTTTGCAAGATGTTTCTTGTCGGTAATAAGGAGTGCGTTTACCGGCGTGATTTTCATCTACATCGGTGATTGAATTATCGAGCCCGGCTTCACCGACAAAGCCATTACTGACAAGATCCAAGTGGGAAGCTTGTTTCACCGACCAGACTCCCTCTTTTATTGACATGATTTCTCGTCGGTGACACAGTGAATTCTTACAGTGGTTATTCTAACTTTTTCTTCTTTTTTTTTTCCTATTTTAATTCATGGTTGTAATCTTCTCTATTTTACTAATCTCAAGTTTTGTTTATTTGTTTAATTTGTTTGCAAGATTCATGCTAATGTTAAGTAGTAATATCACATTAACTTCCCCTAAGTTATATATTTTGTTGAATAATTCATACATTTTGTTATATATATTTGTGAACCAACTTTTTTTATTGTTATTTTTGTAGGTAAAAATTTATGTACAATTAGGTATTATTGAATATAGTAGTAATTTCGTTTATTTTAAAAACAAAATTTTAGAGTAGTTTTAGTTTTTTTTTTTTTTCCATTTTTTCGCCTTACAATTAATTACTAATTACAAATGTTAAATTATTTTGTTTGTAAAAAAACTTTAGATGAATTATTTATTGAGGTATGATTGATTATGATGTTGAGATGAATATATATGTTTAGAGTTGTTGAAATTTTCTAAATTTAAGAAATTTTAAACATATTATTGTTATGTTTAATGAATTTTTCATAAATTTTGAGGTATATATGATTAATTTACTATTGTCCTATATTGTCATTAAGTTTACAATTGAAATTTTAATTGTATTCTTCAATTATGCTGCTAGAATCGTTGAGTTATTTAATTTTGTGTGAATTTTGTAGGATAAAATGATATTTTGTGTTATAAGTGTAAGAATATTTTACTTATATCTTTGTTTCAAAAACAGAAATATAGCTTGTAACCCATGTAGATGAATTCTAAAGGGCATTTGATTTTTTAAAAATAAAAATTTTTAACAATATAACTTATGTTGCTAATGATTAGAGTAACATGTACTACATTAGTTAAATCTAATAAATGAAATAATATTATTGATAATTATTATGGCAATACTTATTTCGTTGATGAACTTTCACCAACATGGTATGCATTGTAATATCTAGTCAAGTTTTTATCCCATGCACCTTTACATTACTTCGTATACCATGCCAATAAATTTTAATATTCACTGACATATGGGTTATAAAAGTCTGCTGACTTTTATTTAGCATTGTTTTGCACATTGGTGCGTCCCTTCACTTAAATATTTAAATAAATGAAAAAAAAAATTATATAATTAATTAAAACTCTATTCCAATAACAATTCTATACAATTTTTATAAGTAAAAATTAAAACATAATGGTTGAACTGTTTGTAAAATTATGTAAATATTTTTAATGAATTTTTGGTATGTTAATTTATTGAAAGTATTTAAACTTTTTCTTGCTATACTAGTATTTTAATATATATGTATATATATATAGAGGAAAAAGTGTTTTATAGGTTGTCTTTTTAAATTTTTTTTAAAGACATGTTCAAAAATTTGTATTCTAATTAATATTTTAAAAAACTAACAGTTAAATTAAATGTTCTATTTATACAAATCATGTATATTAATTTTTAAATTGTTTTAATAGGTCTAATCACTTCGTTGATTACAAAAAATTTAACATTGTTAAATATATGTTAATAAATAGAGTTTCTTTAATTAACAATTTATAAATGTGAGATCAATATAAAAATCAATATACATAATCTACATGAATAAAACTTTTAGTTCAATAGTTAGTTTTTGAAAAAAAATCAATATA